CTTTTCTCTCTCTCTCAAATCCTTATTTAGAAGAAACACTTGATGGAACACAAAAACCCCCATTAAAATGCCTTTTTTATAAAATGATAAAGGCCAAATGATGTATTTAATTGAAATAAGAGGCAGGGTTTTTATTGTTTAAAGAAGGTAAAATCCTAGAAAATTATTTAAATGAGCTGAATACCTTCAAGTTACTATATGAGATTTGTTACAAAACCCGATCTTAATAAAAATTATAATTTTTAGATTTTTTGCTTAATTCGTGAATTTTAAATAAATTTTTCAATCTTATTTTATCTTGGTATATTTACTATAATCTTTCATTTTAGCATTTTAGTTTCGCAACAGTCTAAAATATTTTAAAGGTCATTTAGAATTGAATTCAAAATTTTTTTTTCAAAGGGCACGGAAAATCGCAAATAACAAAGTATATCAACAAATAACCCAAAATATGCCAAAATAATTATATAGGGATAATTGGGTGGATTAATGTGATTTGGACGGATATTGGAGAAGTGGTCCTTTGATATCTTCAGATTATATCTTCTCGAATATAACTTCCATACCTTTAAATTTCATTTCCTGAACGGTGTCTAAAAATTTTGAAAAATTATAGAAAAATCTCTTAGAAAAGTCTTTGAGTTTTCTATATCGTCTGTTTTCGACAATTCCTATTAATACTAGAAAATCGCTGTTTCCCTTAAAAATGACTAAAGATCAGGCTAAAATACGATTTCTTCATCATCAGAATTTACTAGCCTTTAATTCCAATACCAGACACTTTAAATTCATTCTAAATTTCTTTATATATTTTTATAAGCTTTTTTCAAAATTTATTTCCTTCTACATAAAAGCAATTAATAAGCCTCTCGTTTTGTTCATTGTTAAAAAAGACTCATTTACGATTCCACGGAAGTTATTTTCATTTTCCTCTTCCTCTAAATTCCCTGGCGACCATTTTAACGTTATTTTTGTATAGGAGAAATTTATAAAAAATATTTTTAGAAGAATATTTTTTCCTTTAAAAAACAAAAGAAAAAGCTGAATTTTTAGTTAAATTTCCTTAACTTTTTTTCAAAAAATTTTCTTTTCTTTTTTCACCGATTGAGCCGCTTTTTCCCTCAAAAAGCGGAGGAGGAGCTTAAAAAGCTTTATAGAGGCAAACAAACAAAAACACTCTCCTCTCCTCATGCCTTTCCATTCATATTTGGCTAAACAAAAGAAGGTTGGATGGAGTTTTAAAAATTCTAGAGAACAATACCAATGAATGGTTAACCGGACAAAGCTTTTGAATGGCTAATGAATGCTGTGTATATATTTATTTTGTTATAGTTTTAGAGTAGGAAAAGCTTTAGAAAATTTGAGGAAAATCTTTTTTTGGTTAAAAAGGATTTTGCTTTATTGAATAAATTAAATAAATAATAATTTTTCTAAATTTACTAAAAATTTTGGTTTAGAACTAGATTTCTACACTCTGTGACAAAATGATAGGACCCCATAGTTTTTTATCGATATCCCACCAAATATTAAATGATTTGCTTTAAATTTTGGTTAATACAGGTAAGGATATTATGTATCAATATTGAAAAGAAAAAGTTTAGAGTGTAACAAAATGATAGGACCCCTTGTGTTTTTTATTTGAATGAGTAAGGTCAAAATCAAAACTTGATTGAAATATTAATACAATAAATATATAATTTTGACAATATTTATAAGTGTCAATTAGTAAAAACTATTTTAATTTACTCTGATTTCCTATCTCTTAATGTAATTCTAAAAGATATTTTTTATATGATCGTGGAAAGATCTTGGAAAAAGATCTGGAAACTCTAGCCAGAGTCTTCTGTACATCCTTAATAACTTCTCCTATTAATTCACTTTCATATGTACATATGTGAGAGTACAAAAATCTTTGCATAAAACCCAATAGTATAATTAAAGAAAAAGGCGTGGTCCTTCTCATTTGTTTCTAAAATGTTTGTTCATGAATTAAGTAGGGCCTTTGTATAACTCATTGTTTATGCCAAAATTAATTGCCTAACTCTGTGTTTTCTTGTTCAATCCTAATCAGTAGAGATGTGAATTTTATGCATTAAAAAATGGAAAATATGCACTATAATATGCACATAAAAATACCAAAATATGCACGAAAATATGCAAGAAAACCAAAATATGCATGCAAATATGCAAGAAAAATACAAATTATACCTAGAAATTTCACATTTTTTAGTCAAAAACATCCAAAAACCTATTTTTATAACGATTACTCCCATTTTAATCGTATAGTTTGAGTATTTTTACGTTATTGGACATTTTGAGATGTGACGTTTTGGCGGTGTGACATTTTGATGTGGGACATTTTTGGGTTGAGACATTATGGGTCTTGGACATTTTTTGGGGCGCGCCCAAAAACAAAATTTTTTTTACAAAATTTGTAATTTTTACAAATTTTTTCTAAATTTTTACAAATTTTTTCCAAAATTTTTACAAAATTTCCACTTTTTGTCAGGATTTTAGGCATTTTCGCAATATTTTCCCCAAAAACCTCAAAATATGCAGCAAAATATGCATTATGCAGCAAAGTCTGAAATATGCAAAAATATGCATTATATGCAAATAGAAACCCCCTCTAAAGTTTTCAAACCAGGCTAAAACTGTGTTTTTTGTGCTTTATACATGATGCCAAGTTTGCAAAAAAAATATGCATTTGCATAAAAATCACAGCTCTACTAATCAGATCTGTGTCTTTTTAGGGCCATCTCTTTTTAATATATTTTTAAATGTGTTAATTTATTATTTGATGGGTTCTCAGATATCAAAGTTGTCTCTAGAAGAGATTTTAGCTTAAAAATAACAAAATTTTTATTTATTCGAGATTTTTTGAGAATCAAGATTTTTTGGGATAATGATTTAAATTCTTATAATTATGACTGCCTTTTATTTTTTCACTTTTCCACTCTTTCAATAAATACAGAATACCTTCTTAATATTTTTTATTAACATTATTTAATTTTCTATAAATACATTATTTTAAATAAATTATTAATATCTATGTAAATATTTTTTATAAAAAATTTTTTTTAATTCATAAAAACTTTAATCCTTTTTGACGTTTATTCTCCTTAAAAGCCCCCCACCTTCATAAAATTTCTAAATAATTTATTTTTATTCTTTTTAAACCTTCCTTATTTAAAATTTTAAATTCCAGAAATAATTTAAATTTAGTAGTCTACGAATTTAAAAAAATATTCACAAATAAATCCTCAATGATATCATAATTAATTTCGTATCCATAAATGTTTATAATTATTAGAACTTTTAAGTTAATAAATTTTGTCTGAATAATTTAAAATTGGCATAGAATGAATTTATCTACTATTAAAGGTCTACGGATATTTTTTTCAATTTTTCCAACCCGGATCCCACGTAAGTTAGTATTTAGTCTACTGGGAGTTAGTTACCTTTAAATAGTGTCAAATGAGTTAAATTTGTCCTAAATTAGGTTTGGGGGCCCGGTCCGGTCAGAAAGATCGAGTCGGGCCAAATTTTGCCCGGTCCGGTCCGATAAAAATTAGGCACGAAAAATTAACTCGAACGTCGGCCCGACTCGAAAACCCCAACCCTAGTCCTAATAATGAGTTTATCTAATGAGTTTCGGGGTTGTAACTTGTGGAGGCTAATTTTTTATAGTATTCCTTGATTAATAAAATGATTTTATCGTTAAATTTTTCTATAATTTTATACCCAAAACAAATATTTGTTCAAATTTTATTACAATTAAATCATTCCTCAGACGTGATTAAAATTAATATTTTTTATGGAGATTAGAATTAGCAAACTATATACAATAATTATTTAATAATATTGTCGGCTTTTCATTGTTTTTGAGCTCTAAAAAATCCAGGAAGTTTTATACTCACATATTTATTTATTCATATCCATTCCTTGTTGGCACGACATCCACACAAATTCTTTTAGGCTCTTCTGCGTTTTATGCTTTTCAGTTGGGATGCCATTAGTGAATAGTCGCGCACCCTACTAAACTCTAGTAAATACCTTCCCTTCCCTTTTCCCCTGTGAATGAGCTGATGAGCGGAATCGTAATTTCCTGCGTGCCAATTTCATGAACGGCCAGCCGATGGCGCCAAATGCCGTGCTGAAGCGCCATAATTCTCGTTTCTCCTCTTCCTAGCTAGTCCATTATTCATAGAAAATGGCCAGATTCCTGTCACACAATCCAACACATTTTTTACCTTTCCTTGAATGGAAAGCAAATTTTCCATTCAACTAATTGCCAAACATTTATTTGCGTGTGTGCATCTTTTTTAAGCGCTAATGAGCAGCTAAAATAGCGAATAAATTGTTTTGGATAAATAAATGGGCAAGTATGGCAAAAGTACTTCACATACTACTATATCTTTTCTGTTTTTTAGATGAAAATTAATTAAAATAGTTGAAAAAATAACTAAAAATTAGATCATTTACGTCCTTAATTGTAAGAAAAAATTTTTAACAGTTATCTCATTGAGGTGTAGAAATTTCTTTCATACCTTACCTAACTTAACTTTAGTTAAATTTAAGGATAATTTTTAAGAAATTCTAATTGTTATGTATTAAGAGCTGTTATTTTACGATAAATCGAAGCATTGTGCTTAAATAATTTTTAGTAAAAAATATTTGTGAATAGTGTTGGGGTCATATTTTTCAGCTTCATCTGGTTCGCACGACCGAGTCTTTGTCGGGCCAAGATTCGATGCCCGATTCTATCGTTCGGACCAGGCCGAAACGGGCCCCCAACCCTAATCGTGAATCAAAGATTTGTGGAATTTTGGAAAATCTTGTTTTTTCACAACCAAATACGAAATTTTGTATTATTTTTTAGTACAATAATACGAATAAAATACCTATTTTTTAAATTTCTTTGTTTAAATTTCTTAATTGTTTGTTTTCAAAATATTTGAATATTTTTCACAAATTTTCTTAGCTTAAGAAAATAAATTAAAAATGAAAAACATTCCAAATTCCAACACAATTCCAACAAACAGCAATATCACAGTTTTACAAAAACAACGAAAATGTTTCTTGATAGACACCCTCCTCGAACAAAGACAGAAACGCCTTGAAGCTGCTTTGAATAATAAATCAAATGAGGTGAGAGGCAATTTGTATTTTTATTTTTTCCAGTAATAAACGTCTAGGGGAGATAGCTAATAATAAACGAAAGTTAATAAATAACTGAAGAGAATCTAGGGTTGTCGGTTCCTGGCAATTGTTCGGATATCCGAACCCGAACCGAAGAACCAAACCGAAAAATCATTGGTTCTGTTCGGTTCGATCCAGAACCAACAACCATACACCCATCTCCAGCATCAGTGACAGAAAGACATCGTTTAGCTTGGTTACCCGAAAAGTTAAACTTTAGAAAATACACCACGCGTGTTTGTATGAAATTATTTTGTTGGATGTCTCAATCTTATATTAATTTATAATTAAGACCATATTTTGTAACTTTGTGATGGATAAGAAAGAATGCCTTGATAAAAATGAAAATCTACATCAAGTGGATTTTGAAGAGAATACTAAAACTTGTATAAATCAAGAAGAAGCATGTAATCTAGATAATGATAAAGAAGAAACTATTGAAGAAACACTACCGAGCCTTAGCCATTTTGATAATGAAGAAAACATAAGGAATGAGAAGAATAAAGATGAGATTGATCAAAGAAAGTCTTTGTTGGATGCTTTAATGATGGTACAGATAAATTAGTGATATTACTTGAGTAGGGTTGTCGGTTCTTGGAAAATTTTCGGATATCTGTAACCGAACCGATATCCAAAACGAAAAATCATCGGTTCTTCGGGTCGGTTTGGTAACTCTAGACTTGAGGATTGATCAAGATATTACAAAAATACCAAGGATCATTGAAAAATCTCGTATGGGTCCGTTCGCTGATAGAAATATTATGAATATCAAAATACTATATAGAGTTTTTCAAATTTACTAAACTCAGGGCCCAGATTAGATATACAGTAACATTACAACAAAGAAACCACCCTGAGAATAGTTTTTAGTAAATTTTGGATTGTGCATCGCTAAGAACATTATCTCTTATGCAATTTTGTTTAAGCTTTTGCCTGCTGTCCAATCCCAACCAGATTCAAACAATCTTAACTCTGCTGATAAATAATGTCCCATTACCACTAAAAGGATCGCTGTTTTTCTGAACAGATTCAGTTTAAAATACGATTTCTTCATCATCAGAACTTATAAATTCCAATACCAGACACTTTAATTTCATTCTAAATTTCTCTATATATTTTTATAAGTTTTTAAAAAAATTTATTTCCTTCTACATAAAAGCAATTAATAATCGTTTTTGTTCATTATTAAAAAAGACTCATTTACGATTCCACGGAAGTTATTTTCATTTTCCTCTTCCTCTAAATTCCCTGGCGACCATTTTAACGTTATTTTTGCATAGGAGAAATTTATAAAAAATATTTTTTAGAAAAATATTTTTTCCTTTTAAAAACAAAAGAAAAAGCTGAATTTTTAGTTAAATTTCCTTAACTTTTTTTTCAAAAAATTTTCTTTTCTTTTTTCACCGATTGAGCCGCTTTTTCCCCCAAAAAGAGGAGGAGGAGCTTAAAAAGCTTTATAGAGACAAACAAACAAAAACACTCCTCTCCTCCGGCCTTTCCATTCATATTTGGCTAAACAAAAGAAGGTTGGATGGAGTTTTAAAAATTCTAGAGAACAATGCCAATGAATGGTTAACCGGACAAAGCTTTTGAATGGCTAATGAATGCTGTGTATATATTTATTTTGTTATAGTTTTAGAGTAGGAAAAGCTTTAGAAAATTTGAGGAAAATCTTTTTTTGGTTAAAAAGGATTTTGCTTTATTGAATAAATTAAATGATGGTGTGCGGATATCGGGATTGGTGTGACAAAAATAATTTTTTGGTGTTTAATTTTGTTCTAAAACATGAAAACTCTATTTTTCGATGGGACAATATACAATCTAAGACCCAGTGGACGTAGGTCCCGAAATCAGTAGGGTAACTGTTTGTACATTGAAATATCCCGATATGTCCGTTCCGATATGTCCGCGTGCCTAAATAATTATTCTTCTGAATTTACTAAAAATTTTGTTTTAGAACTAGATTTATGTGATTTGAATGAGTAAGGTTAAAATCAAAACTTGATCGAAATATTGACTCTATATAATTTGGGCAATATTTTGTAAGTGTAATTTGGTAAAAATTATTTTGATTTTTCTGATTTCCTAGCTCCAACTGTAATTCAAAATAATATTTTTAATAGAATATTAGGAGATCTTTGAAACTTTGGCCTGAGTCTTCTGTACATCCTTAATAACTTCTATTAATTCACTTTCATGTCAGAGTACAAAAACAATTACATAAAAACCAATAGTATAAGGGGTATCACGACTTTTGCGCCGAGAACATTTGCGCCGCGACTTATGCGCCGCGACTTTTGCGCCGGGCGACTTTTGCGCCGCGACTCTTGCGCCGCGACTTTTGCGCCGGGCGACTTATGCGCCGCGACATTTGAGTTAGTTACTATTTAAAGGTAACTAACTCAAAGTAGCATAAATAATTTATATAGGAGATCCGCATTCATGAAAAATTGAAAAACATCCCTAGACCTTTATAGATAAATTTATTTTATTAACTATTTTAAATTATACAGACAAAATTTATTAACTAAAAAGTTCTAATAATTATAAACGGTTATAGCTACAAAATTAAAAATGATATCATTGAGGATTTATTTTTAAATATTTTTTTAATTCGTAGACAAAATTTAAATTATTTCTGGAATTTAAAATTTCAAATAAGGAAAGTTTAAAAAGAATAAAAATAAATTATTTAGAAATTTTATGAAGGTGGGGGGCTTTTAATGGGAATAAACGTCAAAAAGGATTAAAGTTTTTATGAATTAAAAAAATTTTTTATAAAAAATATTTATTTAGATATTAATAATTTATTTAATAAAATGTATTTATAGAAAATTAAATAATGTTAATAAAAATATTAAGAAGGTATTCTGTATTTATTGAAGGAAGGGAAAGTGTGGAAAAAATAAAAGGCAGTCATAATTATAAGAATGTAAATGATTATTTTAAAAAATCGTGATTCAAAGAAAACTTGGATAAATAAAAAATTTTAAATTTTAAGCTGAAATCACTTCTAGAGATGGCTTTGATATCTGAGAACCCATCGAATACATAATAAATTAAAGACATTTAAAAATATATTAAAAAGAGACGGCTCTAAAAAGACACAGATCTGATTAGGATTGAACAAGAAAACACAGAGTTAGGCAATTAATTTTGGCATAAATAATTAGTTATACAAAGATCCTACCTAATTCATGAACAAAAATTTTTAGAAACAAATGAGAAGGACCACGCCTTTTCTTTAAAAATATTCCTTATACTATTGGTTTTTATGTAATTGTTTTTGTACTCTGACATGAAAGTGAATTAATAGAAGTTATTAAGGATGTACAGAAGACTCAGGCCAAAGTTTCAAAGATCTCCTAATATTCTATTAAAAATATTATTTTGAATTACAGTTGGAGCTAGGAAATCAGAAAAATCAAAATAATTTTCACCACTTTACACTTCCAAAATATTGTCAAAATTATATTTTGTCAATATTTCGATCAAGTTTTTATTTTGACCTTTCTCATTCAAATCATAGAAATCTAGTTCTAAAACAAAATTTTTAGTAAATTCAAAAAAATTATTATCTATTTAATTTATTCAATAAAGCAAAATCCTTTTTAACCAAAAAAAAAGATTTTCATCAGATTTTCTAAAGCTTTTCCTACTCTAAAACTATAACAAAATAAATATATACACAGCATTCATTAGCCATTCAAAAGCTTTGTCCGGTTAACCATTCATTGGTATTGTTCTCTAGAATTTTTAAAACTCCATCCAACCTTCCTTTTGTTTAGCCAAATATGAATGGAAAGGCAAGAGGAGAGGAGTATTTTTGTTTGTTTGCCTCTATAAAGCTTTTTAAGCTCCTCCTCCGCTTTTTGAGGGAAAAAGCGGCTCAATCGGTGAAAAAAGAAAAGAAAATTTTTTGAAAAAAAAGTTAAGGAAATTTAACTAAAAATTCAGCTTTTTCTTTTGTTTTTAAAAGGAAAAAATATTTTTCTAAAAAATATTTTTTATAAATTTCTCCTATGCAAAAATAACGTTAAAATGGTCGCCAGGGAATTTAGAGGAAGAGGAAAATGAAAATAACTTCCGTGGAATCGTAAATGAGTCTTTTTTAATAATGAACAAAAACGAGAGGCTTATTAATTGCTTTTATGTAGAAGGAAATAAATTTTGAAAAAAGCTTATAAAAATATATAAATTTAGAATGAAATTAAATGAAATTTTGACGAGTTTATTTATAACAAAAGTGTCTGGTATTGGAATTACAAGGTTAGTTCTTATGATAAAGATATCGTATTTTAAACCAGATCTGTTACTTATTTTTGAGGGAGCCAGCGATCCTTTTAGTAATTAAATTATGTCGACCACAAGACGATTAATAAAACCCCAAAACTTTCTAAGTAGGATAAAATATTTAGACAACCGGGTAGGAATCTAATTGCAATTTTAAAGGCTAATTTAGTTTTTTTACTTAAAATTTTGATTTTTAAAGTAAATTTTAATTATTGGTAAATAATTATTTGCTATTCCGTTGGATATACATACATGACTATTTAACTATTTTCCATGCATATTTTGCCAAACCCTATCTATGTACATTTAAAATATTTTAGATTGTTCCGAAACTGAAATTCCAATGAAAAATTATAAAAGTTGATAAAATAAAATTAAAAAATTAATTCAAAATTCACGAATTAAACATAAAAAAGCTAGAAAATTACAATTTTTATTAAGAACGGGTTTTGTAACAAATTTTATATACCTATTAACTTGTAGGTATTCAGCTCATTTAAATAATTTTCTAGGATTTTACCTTCTTTAAACAATAAAAACCCCGCCTCTTATTTCAATTAAATACATCATTTGGCCTTTATCATTATATAAAAAAAGGCATTTCAATGGGGGGTTTGTGTGTTCCATCAAGTGTTTCTTCTAAATAAGGATTTGAGAGAGAGAGAGAAAAGTTTATATAAATCCATTTAAAG